TAAATATTATTTATATAAGTTAAATAAAAATAAAAAATAATTATATGTTTATATAATTGATTCTTTTTAATATAATTGATAAAATTTAATAAGTTAGTTAATATTAAATATATTTATTTATTAAAATTTAAAATTGTTTTTAATTTAAAATTAAATGTATACTGAATGCAAATAATTGAGAAATAGTAAAAAATTTAGAAGTTGTAATGACATTTATAAAATGAAACAATGACATTTATCAAACGTAAAACCCATTACAACAACAAAAATCAATAGTGATTGAAACTAAATGTATAACCAATATAAAGATGATTGATTTCTTGTGGAGCTAGTTGAAGGGCGTGGAGTTCCTTTTTCCTTGCAGTTTTCTCTTCTTCTTCACTTCCTTCTCTTTCCAGAGCTCGGATTTCTTCTCCTCCGAGATAAGGGAAGCTAGATTCATGCTGGTTGTTTGAGAGTGAGTTAGAAACTCACTTGTCGTTTGATTTCTTGAAGATTTATGGGCTGTTTTTGAAGAAATTCCATTTTCGGGGAAAAGGGTGAAAATTTGGGATTTTCTATGTTTGATGGTTGCATGTTGAAAAGGAGTTGGTTTTCGAGTTGTTTAATGGAAATGTGGTGTTTTGAGTGGATTGCATGTACTTGAGATGCTTGTTTTTGCAGGGTTTGGATGAAATTTTTGAAGTTTGAGGGTTGCTGCTTGATGGTGCGCTGGGCGTAGTTCTTGGCGCCGGGCGCGTGACCATCAGAGGGTTCCATTGGTCAAGCACGCCGGGCGCGAGGCTGGTTGCGTCGGGCGAGCTTGGGAATGGAGGCCCCTGGATGGCTCACGCCAGGCGTGGGGGAATCGCGCTGGGCGTGGGGGAACCGCGCTGGGCGTGATATCAGACAAGGATTCACATTTTGGGGTTCTGGTATGGCGCCGAACGTGATTATATCTCGCTGGGTGTGGAGACTCCTTGGGAGTCTCTGCCAGGGGTGGCGCCGGGCATAATTGGTATTACGCCGGGCGTGAGACCTTGGGGAGGTCTCTGCCTTACTTGCGCCGAGCGCGGGTTTGGTACGTCGGGCGTGGGAGACTCTTGAGAGTCTCTGCCTCCTAGCACGCCAGGCGCAATTGAAATTGCGCCGGGCGTGTAAGAGCCTTGGAGCTCTCTGGTTGGTCCACGCCGGGCGCAACTCTTATTATGCTGGGCACGGATGTGTTCTTTTATAAATATGCTGATTAATGTTGTTGAGTCGAGTTGAGTTGTATGCTATTTAAGTTGTTAATGTCGTATGATGTTTAAGCTGTATTGATGTAAGTTGAGTTGTGCTGTATGTTGTTTATGCTGTTAATGTTGTTATGTTATGTTGTGCTGAATGTTGATTTTGAGCTGTGTTGTGAATATAAACTGTTGTAAGCCGTAAGGCTGAGCTGTTGTAGGCCGTAAGGCTGAGCTGTTGTAGGAGATCTCTGAACTGAAATGCGTGACGACGCATAAGTTTTTTGATGTTGATTTTGCTGAATGATATGAGCTGTAGATGTGTAGTGTGTTGTGAAGTTGTGCTGTAGATGTATGTTGTGATGTGTTGTATGTTGATATTGTTGAACTTAATGATGTGCTGATAAGCTGTAGCTGTTTATAATTTCTATATATGCTTATTCTTGTCACTAGATTACCCTTGCATGTTTCCATATGATTTGGACTGCGATGATCATATTATGTATGAGAGCAGAGCTAGGATAGGTTGGAGTCCTGTAACAGGTCTATAGCTGGCAGATGGAGTTGATATTTTGATGTTTTTGGCTACGTTGTATATATAGTTATTTGGTTGATATATTTGGTATATTGACTTGTTGAGCCCCAGGCTAGACATATGTGTATATATTTTATTTTTATATATGCATACTCTATTCTGCGTGGTGTTGTTTGTTGTGGAACGGCTAGGCGGGTCGTTACATTAAAAATAATTATTAATATAATATATAATTATACAAAATAAGTATTTTGGTTAAGTGCCATAATTTAATGATAAATGTTGAGTGACAAAATATCCTATCAATCCAAAATTATTAAGCATTTAAGAACTACCACTACAAGAAATTATCGTATAATGACATACATTTTATAATTTATTATTAAAAATTATTTTTACCTGCATAATAAATATAATATATGTTAGTATATTGTTAAAAAGTATAAATATAAATTATAGTGACACACAAAATATGTTATTAAATATCATTCAAAATCAACACTAAAATTTTGTGTAATTAAATGTCAAATAGATATATATTTATATATATTATACCTATAGTGACACTTTTATATGTCATTGTATGTAACATTTCTTGTAGTGTATTGATATGACTTCAATCAATGTTTATATATTTGAAGAAAAAGAAGTTTCAGATTAAGTATTATTTTAACTTTTCATCAATGTGATATTATTTTATCTATTTATACCTCTTATAATATATTTTAAAAAAAAATTGTGTTATATTTTTGGTAAAGAAAATGAATATTTCATATATTTTTTTAATGAGATATATTTACCTAATTTATAAGGATTAAGAAAGTTGATTAATTTAGTTGATAATATAAAATTTGTGTTAGATTTAATTTTTTTTTTTTTAAACTATCCAATGAGGCTCTTGCTCTATCAAGTACCAACTACTTATTGAGTTAAGACAAATGACTAAGAAAAATGACTATAATTATAGGTGTTTTTTTTTGTAAAAGATAATTAATATAAGAGACATTTTAGATTGATTCTTAAAAAAAAGACTAAGCAGTAATGAGGTCTAACTCAATTGGTTAAATAAGGTGCATGAATATTGTAAATATATTGATACCAAGTTCAACTCCCATAGATAAATTAGAAGAAAAAAAAAGAGACCAAACAACATGTTTTATTTAAATCTTATAAAAATGACATGAGAAAATAATAAGGCTAATTAATTTTGTAGAATTATTATTCCTTCTAAACATAAATATAACAAAAATAAAATCATGAATGGTAAACCTAAATATAAGTAAATCTTAACTCTAATTTTACCATATTTAATGTTACTATCTCCAAAATTATCTTTACTTAATTGAAAAAATATTTTTAATTTTTTTTATTCTTAATATCACGCTCTAAAGATAGTATAGGGAAAAAAACTTTTTTAATTGAGATTAATAAGATTAAATAATATTAACTATCTTTTTAATTAACGTTCAAGTTAGATAATTTTGTTTATATTCGAGTATAAAGTGTTTGATATTTATTTATTAGCTTTTATTAATATGTATAAAAAAATTATAAGAAGACATTTTTTATGAGACGCAGGTAGCTAGTGATCTTTTTTAATTAACGTCTCAAGTTAGATAATTTTGTTTATATTCAAGTATAAAGTATGTAATCTTTATTTATTAGCTTTTATTGATATGTGTAGAGAGTTATAAGAAGTCGTTATTAGCTTTTATTAATACGTGTAAAATATTATAAGAAGACGTAGATGGCGATCTTTATAGATGCAGGGTGTAATTAACGTTCAAGTTACATAATTTTGTTTATATATATTTGAGTATAAAGTATGTGATCTTTATTTATTAGTTTTTATTGATATGTGTAGAAAATCATAAGAAGGCATTATTAGCTTTTATTAATATGTGTTAAAAATTACTATAAAAAGATGGCAGATAATGATCTTTGTAGATGCATTTATTAGCTTTTATTGATATGTGTAAAAAATTATAAGAAAACACAGATGGTGATCTTTGTAGACACATATTGTGTGTGTTTTTAGGGTTTAGGGTATATAATAAATAATTTTGATAATTTTTTTTATAATATATATATAAATATTTATTATATATAATTAAAATTTATAATAAATTATATATATATACACATAGTTGAATATATGAATTATATATAAAATTTATATAAATAAATATTTCAATCATATAAATTATATTTTAAATTTATAATAAATAGTTTATATTGTAATGTAAAATTATTTTTATTTATTAATAATTTATTATAAAATAGTAATATTAAATTAATAAATAATTTTGATAAAAAAAATTAAATTAAATAATTTTTTTATAAAAAAATCTCTACAAGTTCCTAAAAACACTCTCACATAGGATAGTGTTTTTTTTTTTGGTACGTACAGTGGTTGGTTAAATTACAATCTTAGTATTTTAACCTAAATGCTTAATTATTTCATATATATAACTACATTTTATATTAAAAAAATTATATATTATAATTAAAATTAGTAATAAACATATTTTAAATATATAAATTATATTTTAAATTTATAATAAATAATTTATATTATATCGTCAACTTATTTTAATTGTGGATAATATATTTTAAAAATATTAAAATTAAATTTATATTGGAAAATTAAGATAAGAAATTAAGAAAATTTCTTGAAGAATTTTCTGGCATTTATGACTTATTCACCATTGCCTTGTGCGTGAAGTCTCGGTCAGGTCCCACTACCTTGAAAATTTTATTTTAGAGACTGTATATGGTACTAAAGTTACAGTTCCTTTTCTTTCTCTATATAGAGCCCCGCGTACCGAATGAGAATTGAGATGTAACTACACATAGCTTTTACAAAGTTACATGCATGTCTTCCCAGAATTAGAAGGAAAAATGTTTTACCCAACTTGCTCAATTCTGTCACCCTAAACCTAGAGAAATAGCAGAACCACCACCAGAGACGAAGAAAATAATGCTTGGCGTTAAGGAACTAGTTGACTCCACTTGTCTCAGGTCTGTGCCCTTCAATTACATTTTCCTTAAAACCCCCGAAGATTCCACTTTGTATTATGAAACCCAGAATATTCCGATCATAGATTTTTCCGAACTCACCTCTTCCAATCCCAATGAACGCTCCAAGGCAATCCAACAACTGGGCGATGCTTGCCAAGATTGGGGTTTCTTTGTGGTATAAAATATTTGATTAACCTCAAACTTTATATTATTAGGCATTTAATTTCTCGATGAGCATATCAGACTAGTTTCCCTCCGCATGCATGCATATAAGTTTTGCTGTCTTGTTAATTTTGGACTACTTTGTATAGTTAATAAATCACGGTGTATCGGAGACACTAAGGGATGAGGTGCTTAGGGCAAGCCAGAGGTTTTTTGATCTGTCTGAGAAAGAAAAAAAGGAGTACGTAGGACAGGACATATTTGATCCAATCAAATATGGGACAAGCTTTAATGTCATGGTGGAAAAGACTCTTTTCTGGAGAGATTATCTCAAATGTTATGTTCATCCTCACTTTAATGCTCCTTCCAAGCCTCCTGGTTTTAGGTACCATTCTCTTCGCTCTTTATTTTTTTTATTTTGGTATTTTAGATAATTTTTTTTATTAGTACTTTTAGGAGGAAAATAAAAATGAAAAACCAAATTAATTTCTTAACTTTTGAACCTTAACAGCCTAACGACTTTTGTAAAAAGAAATCTTAATTTTTTTAATTTTTATATAAGCGAGAGTTAACTCGTGCCATGAGTATTACTAAGCTTTTAAATTTAATTGCAACACTCAATGAGTGTGATTCCATTAGTAACCCATGCAGGGGAGGGTTAGACGAGTAAACTTTTCTTTTGTGGTTGGTTGAAAATTACGTACTATAAACACCACATAATATGCTTTACTTGGTTTTGGTGTTTGGAATCTGAAAACGTGATAGAACACGCTATTCTAACGTCAATATGTTTCGTTTTCAAAATCATATATATTAAGCACCGTTGGATGTAGATCTTCTAAGTAAGTAATAATTATGGTTGAAACAATTAATACTCGCTTTTCTCTCAAAAAAAAAAAAAATAATAGTCTCTTAAATTATATCCTTTAATAAAGTTGTTCAAAATTTATACGTGGTTATAATTTTTGATAGATACTATTAGTTACTTTTTTAACAATAAAAAAGAAATTAATAATTAATTTTATATTAATTCAACATAATTTTATATTAAATATGAAAAATTAGGACACAACATTTTATACAAATTCTTGGTATATAATCAATCACGAGAAATAACGTAGTGGGTGAATAAAAAAAGGTTGGGATAGTTAAAAATATGAGAATTTAGATCATTTCAATCATCTTTATCTTTAAAAAAAAAATCACAAAAAGTAACCATGACCACGCTACTACCTTTATATCCGGTCAGATTTCCCTACCAAAACATAGTGCTCCTTTTCGATCTCTAGTTCTGTGATATATATTTATCTTTAATTAATATATATATATATATATATTAAAAATTTATAAATTAATAATTGAATTGTTAAAATTTAATATATATTATAAATTTGAATAAAATAAGTCTATTAGAATTTATTCTTGAGATAATTTAATCCTTTCCATTTATATATATAGTTAAATTAAAAATATTTATTAAATAAATTA